TTCTTTTCAAATGCGATTTTGCGGATTTCCAGAAACTCGAGAAGATCTGGCCTTTTCTTAAATACTTGCTCAGCTACGTAGTGGATTAGTGTCATGCTAGGTTTGTTGGCTCTTATGTCTGTAAGTTTCAACAAGGATAACATTTTGAAACCAGCTGCATTTCCTGCATAACCACCCGCATTCAAAAAATTGCCAGCTACAAGAACCATATATAAGATTTCGTGCAACTTTTTGCATTCTTCAAGTTCTTGTGCAGCACACCGTATTGTCTCAATGCTATTTTCCAAGAACTCCTGATTAGCCATGAATTCTTCTTTCAGCAGCATGCTTTCAATGCGCAGTTTGTAATTAGGAACGTTTAAGAGTTGCAGTAGAAATTTTTCTGCATTTCCCAGCTTATTCTTATCACCATCATAGTTTCTTAACATTTCGGCCTCATCTGACTCAGGTAGAATTTTCAATAATCCTCTGAGCCTCTCAGCTCCCAGATCTTCATGGCTACCTTCTTCCAATATTCTCGTGTTTGGCCGATAGCTTGCGGGTGTATAAAAAATCAAACGTGGACTGTAAACTATGTATTTTGCGGGTGCGCTGGTAGCGCTGCGGAGCGTGTATGCGCTTTTTTGTTGTTTCACATCAACTGGCTCTTGGCTGATAACAATGACGCCAAGAAGCCAACGGGCGTAGCAACATACCGGCTTCAACACCTGTTACAAATCCTTATTTCCTGATATAATTCCTCTCGCCCCTTAATCTGTAGTGCAATGGGGACTTTCTACCCCTGACGTTACGTTTTACATTCCTTTCGCCCAACCCTTTTTCGTAGAATTTTACAGATGGTTGTCGGTATCTTTGATGCCAGCGTGCCTTACAAGATCGGAGATGTGTTTCTTAACCGTAACGCTCGAAAAATAATTGTGGTAACATCTCAACTTGTTAAAAATAAGCAATTCAACTTTCACTTTAAGCAAGAGGATAAAAAGGCAGAGGGCGAGCAGAGTTATTCAAGTTTACATCGTCCATCTACACTGCAGTTGCCTCGCAGTGGGTACATTCTATTTTTCTATTCTCTTGAATGATTTTTTTTTTAAATTTAAACGACTTAAAACTCCTCATGCACCACAAAGTATAGCATGAGGCTTACAGTTGTAAGTAGAAAACAAAAGGAGAAAAATTTACAAATTTACATTAAATACAAAATTCCGCAAGGCCGCAAGACTTTCAATACTTTTGACCAGTTCTGATAAGACAGGTGGCCAACAAATTGAAAGACGTCTCAAATCAGTCTTTAAATTCATTCGGGCACTCTCATAGAGACTACAGTGAAGAAGAATATGTT